CAATAGCTGCATTGTAGTTATTTGATTGGTGGAATGAGTTCTTAAGATGATCTTAAATATAAGACCGGACTATGAATACCGGCCTTAGATGCATCAGATTTAGCGTCTATTTTCACGTCGCATGGACGTAAATCGAATAAAATATGAGAGATTCCGTGAAATCATCTATCATCTGAAATCGCTGTGTTATTCCGAATCATTTTTGAATACAGGATGGAGAAAAAGTATGGAAGCAAACAATTATTTCCGAAACTATTCATTTTTCGACAAAATGTCTTAGACATAATTTTTATGGTATGAAAAGATGTATTATGTGGTATAGACGGCATGACCTTGAAATGGCCCTTACGAGCTGCATATAAATAACGTAAAAAATTTCAAATGGAACTCGTCAGTTTTTGTTACAGATTCTTGTAGCTGATGTCGAAACGTTTACAAAACACTGCATATGAGCCCCATTCCCTTAAAAACACTCCCAGTTACGAAACAATTGTGATGCACATTGACATTGCTTACTGATTTCGCATCATGACGTTCAGTTGCGTCCACTAATAACATGTAATTGTACCTGTTGTCATATGATACACTGTCTATGAGTATTCATAGAATTTTTTTGATTTCTTGATCATCGCTACCTTATTTATTATTATCATTTATTTTATCCTTAAAAAAGTAGTGTCAATTGGCATACAAGTTTCGGATATTGTGTTTTGAAAATGTGCTATTTTTGTCGTTTTCTATCATAGGAATTCTTACTGATTTTCATTTCTGTAATTTCAAATGTTATTTTCACGATGGCCCGATTAACAGAACGAGAGCGAATATCGCTTGATGATGCGTGGTTGGGGTGAGAATGAAAAAACTCACGATGAAGTTACAGTTTTGTTTAATGAAACTTGGTTGGATGAATCGCACTTATCTTGTCTTAACTGGTTGGATGAATCGCACTTATCTTGCCTTAACTGGTTGGATGAATCGCACTTATTTTGTCTATAAGTCAAATGGTAAAAGCGGTAGGTATGCAGACCATTCTTCATAGCAGCGCTGTGTGTCTTTCTCTTTCGGCACATAATAATCATTTTGTTGTAATTTAAAATGTTATATTATAAATAATTATAATATTTATTATTAATAAATATTATTTATACTTAATTTTTATTATTAATAAATATTATTTGTACTCAAAATAGGATTATTAAAATTTGAATACGAGCGGGAGTTGCATAAAAATGTCTGACCAAAAGTGGTCCCTTGATGGCCAGTCTCTTAGAAAGTCTCTAATCTTGTTGTATATGTCATTGGAAGAGTACATTAAATTCGATGCGCACCGAAGCAGAATCGAATTGAAGACTTCGATGGAAACTAGGCCATTGACTGTGTTTCGGGGTCGCATCGCTACAGTATTAGCGCTACAACCATGGACGTAAGAAATACTGGACAGAGTGTATTGCTGCGGGGGTGAAGCTCAAAGGATGAGGGGAAAGAAATGTCTAGTGCAATTGAATATGAGGCATGTAAGATGGCGACGGATATTAATTTCACGGAGTGTGATATTTTTGAATTTCTTAATATTCAAAAATGATTCGGAATAACACAGCGATTTCAGATGATAGATGATTTCATGGAATCTCTCATATTTTATTCGATTTATGTCCGTGCGACGTGAAAATAGATGCTAAATCTGATGCATCTAAGATGGCCGCGACAATAAACCCTTTATCCCTCAGATTTCACTCCTCTTGTCTAAAAGAGTACTTTATGTTTTGTCCAGTATTTCTTACGTCCATGGTTACAACTTTTTTGCTACAATTGTAGCAGAAAAAAATAGCGACCGCTACAATTGTAGCAGAAAGTCCTGAAACGTACTTATATAGCGCTATCCAGACAGCACAAAAAGACCAAAAGATGTCTTAAAGATGTCTAGAGGACTTTAAGACGTTTTTAAGTTGTCTTTTGGATGTTTTTTTGGACATGTGTGCTGTCTGGGTACTATAGCGCTTCTTCTTCTTCTTCCTTTAATTTGAGTGGCCCAAAGGGCCTAAACTAATTCCCAAGAGGAATATAAGATACTGGCCCAAAACTGGTATACGTTGCTACTGTCGAAGCCCTCGAGAGAGGGAGAAACTAAAAAATTAATTAAAACAAAAATCACGCGAAGGACGCGCAGGAACACGTCACTCTACTCCAAGAAATAAATTTTAGAACACAACTCTGATAAATCTGAGATTTCATGACTTCATCTCCGTAATTAATGAAGAGCCTGTATCATAGACATAGTAAGGGCCTCCGCACAAGGTGTTCCGTATCGCATTACGTTACGTTAAGTATATATTGTAAATTCAACTCCGTACATAAACTTAGACTTAAACTTAAACTTCAGTCAATGCACAGAAAAAATCGCAACGTAAAGATATGTCTTTACGTTATGATTTTTTCTGTGCGTTGACTGAAGTTTAAGTTTATGTACGGAGTTGAATTTAATTATATTATTTTGAACTTGAAAATATTGTATTAATTATTATAACATTTTTATGTATTAATTATTATAACATTTTTAAAAACATGTGCTGATTGTTGTGCACAACGTTTTTTATGAAAAATAAAACTTAAAAAAATGATATAACCTAACCTAACTTCAAGTGCATTTTTATATAAAATAACCTAATATTAATAATATTTTTTTATATTATTATCATTTTTTAAATATAAACATTAGAAAAATGTTGACAAATTATAATACAATAATACATTTCACTTGACGATCGATATATGTACATAGCAGACGACACATTCCAATCGGTTATTCAGTTATGTATAAAGGTGCCTTTACATGGGAGCGTATTAGCGTCGAGCGTTAAAGCGTCAAAAAGTGTGACATGCGCAGTGTGCCTAGTGATTTGTTGAAACGCTGGAGCAGTCAGTAAATCATCTAAATTGCGGAATATTATCAAATATTATCATTATTATCAATATTATCAATATTATCATTATTATCAAATATTATCAATAAAATGTCAGTTAATTATCGTTATCATCAATGGTTATTAGAATGCAGCAGCATTATTAATCATGAATATAAGAAACAAAAAAAAGTTACGTGCACACTCCACACGTTATATCCTATACAAAGAATACATTGTAATAAATAATATTCATGTTGTATTTAGAAAACATATATTGTATTTATGCCAATTATTCCTTCTGTTTGGTTATGTTGTAATACGCTACTAATCGCGCAATTCTATAATATATATTGTATAATGATATCTATTACATCTATTATATCTATTATATTTATTATATATTATATATATTAATACATTTTCTATTAAGAATATACAATCTACTTACCTCTACCGTATTTATTAAAATTTTGTTACTAGACATTGTTTTAGCGGTTTTAGCGTCAAGATGCTGGAATCTGCCTGTTCAGAATTATGCGCAAGGGTGCTGCGCACGTGTTTTTGACGCTCGACGCTTGACGCTAAACGCTTCCATCTAAAGACGCCTTAAGATATACATTATGTACTGGTACATCTAGGGAATCAAGGTTAGCAGTCTAGTATATATATAGAAGTCTGTGGGACAGAGTGTATTGCTGCGGTGGTGAAGCTCAAAGGGTGAGGGGAAAGAAATGTCTACTGCAACTGAATATGAGGCATGTAAGATGGCGACGGATATTAATTTCACGGAGTGTGATATTTTTGAATTCCTTAATATTCAGAAATGATTCAGAATAACACAGCGATTTCAGATGATAGATGATTTCACGGAATCTCTCATATTTTATTCGATTTACGTCCTTGCGACGTGAAAATAGACGCTACATCTGAAGCATCTAAGATGGCCGCGACAATAAACCCCTTACCCCTCAGGCTTCACTCCCATCGTCTAAAAGAGTATTTTATGCTCTGTCCTGTATTTCTTACGTCCATGGTAAGTATAGACCGAGTATCCATAGTATAAGTGTGATGTAGTGATGTGCGATTCTGAATCGATCTTCATGAAAATCGATTTTCTCGACGAGAAAAATCGATTTTTTTGTATCGATTCCATAGCACCTGATTTTTGAGAGAATCGATTTTTTAAAGCTAGAATCGATTATTTTTTTAAGGCTAGAATTCGATTCTACACTCGACTAAAATTGCCGACTCGCAAAGGATCTCGGCCTCGGCTCTCTTTAGGATTAGCTCGACTAGCTTGAATTCCCGAAGGTCTGCTATGATTTTTTAAGTAAAAAAAGTACACTTTAATTAATTTCTTTACGTTTCGGCATATTTCTTCTTTTATAATGTAAAAAAAATCGATTTTCACGAGATCGATTCTTTGTACTCCGATTTTTATGAGAATCGATTTTTACATGTACGATTCAAAATCGATTCAAAAATCGATTTTTATCATACGATCGCACATCACTAGTGTGATGTATACGAAAAGAAAGACAAAAGATGTAAGATGAGTTTCTTTTTCTCTCTTACACTTAACATTGAAAAGAGAAAGAAATTCATCTTATATCTTTTGTCTTTCTCTTATGCATCAACGCTTATAGGCCGGTATTTATAGTCCGATCTTATATTTGAGATCGTCTTAAGTTCGAGCTTGAAATGCTATGCAGCTATTTGATTGGTTGAATGAGGTCTTAAGTCAACCTCCAAGCAGACTTAAGGCCGGTATGCATAGTCCGATCTTATATTTAAAATCGTCTTAAGTCTGCTTGGAGGTTGAGTTAAGACCTCATTCATCCAATCAAATAGCTGCGTAGCATTTTAAGCTCGAACTTAAGACGATCTCAAATATAAGATCGGACTATGAATACCGGCCTAAAGGTGCGGCCTCATTGACGCTAAAAAGTAGCGTCAACCATTGGTTGAACAATGAAGCAACTATACTTACCTCTTTGTTCAACCAATGGTTGACGCTACTTTTTAGCGTCAATGAGGCCGCACCTTAAGACGATCTTAAATATAAGATCGGACTATGAATACCGGCCATACAATGGATGCTCGGTCTATACTTACTATGTCTATGGCCTATATTGTCACACACAAGTGTTGTTATTACATATAATTTGTTATCAATATATCAAGGTATATTAGATTAATCTTAATTATATATGTATTTTTGACATTTTAAAAATAAAATAAATATAAATTGAAAAATTCTTTGCAGTATATTTGACTGCCTAAATAAATATTCTAAAGGATCAAATTGTTTTCGGCAAGTATATTTTCTCTTACTTTTTTTTTAGAAACTTGTGACTTGATTTTTCTATCGAGTGAAATACAATTTCTCACCTCAACTATATTTTTGTGTTATCAAATATACATCAAATATTTATATCCGACTTTTATAAAATATTGCAGGAAAGAAAAATCTATACAGATAGGGAATAGCAAGTGCAAAGATGTTCTCAAGTGGGCCGAACTATACGAAGTTAAAGACACATTTGCGTTTAGCAATTAATCGGCTAAAATTACTGGAGAAGAAGAAAACTGAGTTGGCACAGAAGGCACGTCGTGAGATTGCCGATTATATTGCTGCTGGCAAATCTGAGCGAGCTAAAATTCGAGTGGAGTATATCATCCGGGAAGATTACATGGTGGAGGCAATGGAATTGCTTGAGATGTATTGCGATTTACTGCTTGCACGTTTTGGTCTCATTCAGCAGATGAAGTGAGTTTCAACTGCATTTAATAAATCGTCAAATCATTGCAACTGCATAATGTAACTATTCATTGCAAATTTAATTTTGTTTTATAAACTATACTTTTTTGACCAATTGATTCTTTTCGTTATTTTACATAAAAGTATTGAGATAAATTAATCGAAAATTTAATATTTTCCAAAATATTTCATAATTTATATAAAATTGTCAAGTTAAAATTTAAAAAAAAATTTTATAAGTTATTTAATTTTTAATCCTACTTTTATAATTTCTTAAATATTGTAAGAAATCGATTTACATAAATTAATTCCATTAAAAAAATTAAGTTCTTAAAATCTCTGAGATTGAATTAAAAGCTATCTTATGTCTTATTTGAAATTACAAAATTTTATTTAAAACATTTTGCAATGGAGGACTTAGTTTTCAAGAAACATTAAATATAATAATTAAATATAATTTTTAATTATATATAAATAATATTAATTTTTAATTAAATATAAATATAATAATTAAATATAATTTTAACTGATCTATAAAATTATTTTTATGACACTTATTTATTTTTAAGATATTTTTATAGTATTTGTATACTCTAAATCATTTTTTGACATACAAACACAATTCACATAAACATTAATCACTTAATACTACTGGATAAAAAATTTTTTGAAGTATATATGTACTAATAAATATAACAATTAAAATAATTAAGACAGTAAACAAAAAACTTAATAGTAAACAAAAAAATTTCATATAACAAAATTTTATATTGCTATGTATATTACAATACAATAAATTATATCAAAAATTAATAAAACAAAGTATTTTAAATGAAAGTTGCTTGATTTTTAACATAGAATTCAATTATGTTATTTCTTTCATATGATAATTTGAAATTTCAAAGTTGCCTTTTCACTCTCTTTTGTTTACAAGGTTTTTGAATGATGAAAATGCAAATATAGCATATTTTAAAAGATTCTTTATTATCTGAATTATGTATTTTTATTAAGTAATTCCTGAGATGAAAAATTTTATTTGCTGCACTTACACTCATACATACAATTTCAATTGATTATTATTATTTTCAGAAACCTTGATGAAGGTTTAGCAGAAGCAATATCTACTATTCTTTGGGCAGCACCTCGTATTCAAACGGATGTGCAGGAAATTAAAGTGATAGCAGATATCTTGACATCTAAATATGGCAGACAGTATACAGAAGCATGTCGGGAGGAAGCAATTCAGACAATATCAGAGAAATTGAAACATAAGATGAGTGTGCAGTCACCTTCAAAGTTGCTCGTAGAGAAATATTTGATAGAGATTGCCAAAAATTACAATGTGGATTATGAACCAGATCCACAAGTGATGGCAGAAGCCCAGGATGCAATGTTGATCGACATAGGAGCTAACGGAGGAGAATCGAGAAACAATTTAGATACTGCTAGTGGAGGAATGCCTCATCCACTTGGTTTTATAGGTTTTCCACAGGCACCTTTGTTACCTGATCCTGGATCTCACTCAAATATAGTAATTTAAATAACTCTTTTAATTCTTATATAAAATCATAAATAAATTATATAATTTTAATAAATAATTTTAATAAATTATATAATTTTAATAAATAAATATAAATAAATTATATAATTTTGATAAATAACAATCAGAAAGGATTAATCTTTAATAGGAATAATGTTTAATCTACTTTTTGCACTTTCATTATATATATCACCATTATTTGTGGCATCACATGTTAACATTGTATTATATTGTATATCATAATTCTAGGATTCAGAAAAAGATACTTTATCTATGGGATTCGTATCTCCAATATCTCCGATTGAAAAGGATCAAAATACTCCTTTCAATCCTACTTCATTTTCGTATAATATACCTTTGGATAATGCTAACTCGAATAAACAAGTGAGTAACGTGATTTTATTACATATATATTGACAATTATATAAATAATATTAATAAAATTATTATTAACCTGATACTGATAATAAAATAATTTATTTATTCATAATAACATCTAAAAAATTAATTAGGAAGATTTACCACCACCATACCAATCTGATTTTCCACCTGATTTAAATAAACAGGTAAAATTATACATTTTTTCTATTTTATTATGGAATAATTATTAGAATTATTAAAATAATATTTATTAATATATTAAAATAATATTTGAATTTGATAGAAATTATTATATAATTAGATATATGTGCTCAAATGATAAGATTAGAACCTAGAACTTCCATAAATATAATTTATGTATATTTTTTTAGTCTGATGAAAAACCGAAACCTCAGCCTAGATCTAAAATGCCAATGAACAATTATCAGCTCCCAGATCTGCCGGCAGTGCCAACAGAAAACAATGATCCGTCTACAAATCTTCCCGAGAACGATGATATTGATTTCGACGACTTGATGAAGCGATTTGAAGATTTAAAGAAAAGGAAGTAATGTTTATTGTATATAAAAGTAATATTCGAAAGATTTTTTTATTTTATTGCGAAACGATAATGATATGTAGAAGTTAATAATGCTTTTTATAAAAAAGGTCTATTACTACACACACACACATACACACACATACATACAGGGTAGATCATATTAATCAATATACGCGCGAATATCTCGAAAAAGAGAAGTTTTTTCAAACAATGTTTCAAACAAATTTTATGATTTAGGGGGAGAAATAATGACATTATTAATTTTATTATAGATGGCTTCACTTTAGAGATTTTATCATGAAGGCCATTTCTTTAAATGGAAGTCGATTTTTTTTTAAATAAAAGTTGTAACTGGCAATGAAAGGAATTCAACGGTTTTTTATTTTTTGAAATTGGATAATTTTTCACTGAGATACAGCGTTTCAAAGTTTAAGTGAAAAACTTTCACGCCCATACAATATGCATATTTTGTAATTCCAAACCGCCCTCCATTTGTGTGTGTGTGTGTGTGTGTGTGTTGTTTCTATCCATTATCTGAACTAGTTCTATTTGTTCTATTTGATGATCAACTAGCTTTAGACCGATTGATACATATTTTCTCGCGCTTAGCATTATCCAAGATAAACGATGTGGACGTGGTAGGGCTTTCATCCTTTTGGGATTTTGCGTCCCCTTGCCTCTCACAATTCGGGGTAATGCTGAGCGCGGGAAAATGCGTGTCAATCGGACTGGAGTTAGTTAATCATCAAATAGAAGCAATAACATAAAGAGAAAGGCGGTTTGGAATTACAAAATACGCACACTGTATATGGAGACGTGGAAGTTTTTCACTTAAACTTTGAAATACTGTCGCAGTGAAAAATTATCCAATTTCAAAAAATAAAAAACCGTTGAATTCCTCTAATTGCCAGCTACAACTTTTATTTAAAAAAAAAATCGATTAAAAAAATGATTAACTTAAAAAAATGATTTCCATGATATAATCTCTAAAATGGCGTAATTTACAATTAAATTAATAATGTCATTATTTTCCTCCTCAAAGTCATAAAACTTTTGTTTGAAACATATTTTGAAAAACTTCTCCTTTTCGAGATATTCGTGTGTATTGATTAAAATAGTCTATTCTGTATATATATATATATATATATATATATATATATATATATATATATATATATATGTATGTATGTATGTATGTATATGTATACACACACACACACACACACACACACACACATTTTTATGATGAGAGAAATGCAAATAATAGTTATCTATATTAAAATCTAGTATATACATGTATATATACACGTTATAATATTAATAAGAAAGAACATATAATATATTAATTTATTATATCTCTTTGTGTATAATCATTATATATCCTATGTACTTCTCTAATAATAATTGTATACGTGGTATTTTTTTCTAAATCATATTTTTATAGAAATAATTAATTTCGTCACTATTTTTCTTCTTTTAGAACTTATATTTAATTGCAGCTATTTAAAATATGTGCATAGTATTAATAATTATTCCAATCCTCGCATCTCTGAAAAAATAAACAATTTGATTAGTTTCAAAATATTAAGTTTGAAAAATATAATAATTTTTGCATTTTTAAAGTTTATTTTTATATAATTATTTAAAAAATCAAATTTTTATAGCTTTAGTAACTAGAGGGAACTGATCTTTAAAAATTATAAACTTATATATTTTTTTAAACTTATTTTGAGATCTTTGATTTTATTATGTTCATTAAAATTTAAATAAATTTATTAATAAAATTTATCAATTATGTATATAGACATACTTCTTTTCCCTTTTCGTTCAAGCAAGTTAGAAGATTTTGTGAATAGTAACACTTGTCTTGCCTCATATCCAGGTAATGAAAACATTCTACAATAGCTTCGACTATAAAATCTTGCAACTCTGAATTACGTAAATTATGTGTCATAAGTTGAATAATGGAGTCTTGCTTGGGAAATCCCCTTTGATCTACCTGTAAAATAAAAACTAGGATTAAAAAAGCAAATTACCAATTGCTGTAATTGATTTTTGTAACATTTTTGTGTACTTACTATATTTAATTCATTGAAAAAACACTGGATAAGGCACTACACATAATATAATTCATTATTACGCATAATTATAAGTACAATTATTATACATAAATTATATATATGAGATATCCGTTAATAACTGTTTCCTCTCGTATGCATGTAGAGCGAGCTAAATTGAATAAAGAAGTCCTACTGTTTTACGATTTTCGCAATAATTAATCCCTCTAAAAAGAACTTTACAAAGGTAAAAAAAAAATACGCCAAATATATAAAAAATATTTTACCTTGTATGTAACAAAATGTTTAATAAAAAAAGTCCTTAAAAATAATTTACAATAATTTTCCCTCACAAAATTATTTTCCTGAAAAACAAAACAAATAACTTGTCTAAAAAAAATTAGAAAAAAATAAAATATCAAAACTAAATATGAAACCAATAATTACTATTAGCCAAGTACTTAAGAGCAATTTGTAAATTTGATATAATATTTGATGAAATATCAATCTTATATCGTAGAAATATTATACTTAAATTCTTCCTAGAGAAATTAAAACGCATTTTATATTCATTTAGAGAAACTTGATTTTTAAAATATTTAAAATCAACATTAAATGGGAATTAGGATTCTTTTAATTTCTAAAACATTTTTTATACAATGTGTATAATTTAAAAAAAAAAGGTTTTACGCAAGTTTTAAATCGCACAGTTTCTAAATCGAAGCAAGTTATGAAAACTTGGCGTGCCGGGATTGTAATCGAACATAGATTAAATATTTAATTACATAATATCTAAGATTTTACAGTTTATTGGGGATATATTTGTTTATATTGTAAATATTTACTGAAATATTCCGAATTTTGTTAATCAAAATGATTAACTTTTGGCAGAGAATTTTGCCTTGTGTCAGATACATGGTTAATTTCATTGAATTTATTGTATTATATTAAATATAATTCAAATGAAATTAGCCACGTATCTGACACAAGGCGAAATTCTCTGCCAAAATAAGTTAACCATTTCGATTAACAAAATTCCGAATATTTCAGTAAAAACGCATTAAATATTAAAATAAACATCTCTGCACTGTAGCTAAAATCAAATTGTAATATTCCACGCAATTTCTCAAAATACATAAAAAGTGGATATATTCGTCAATATTGATTTTAAACTACTTTTTGCTGGGATTGTACATTCATCAATCAAAATGCCTTAACACCTGAATTTGCCCGTGCCAAGGCATATTCGGACGACGTACTTCCACTCTATTAAAATTGTGCGTCATGACTATTTAATATTTGGCAACGATGTTTCAAAGCGTTTTTTCACCAAATTCAAACTAATGTGTGACATATCTGAAAAAGTGGTTAAGTGTCAAATATGTCAAAATGTATATGGTTAGAAAGTAAGTAATGCACATTAATTATATAAAATATTAAAATAAAATACATTAAATATATAAAAAATATAAAGCGTGATATAAATTACACATATTAATGCCAGTTTTTTATTGTGTGTCACAGATTTGAGGACGAGCGACTGGTGTTCAAATATAAAAACTTGTCAGAAATAAAATACAAAAAAGAAAGAGGAAAAGGAAGAGAAAAAATATAATGAAAATATGATAAATATATATATTTTTTTGAAATTATTATTTGTATTTGTATACAATAATAAATAAATATAAATTATATAAATATAATATAAATTATATAAATAAATATAAATAAATTATATAAATATAATATAAATTATATAAATAAATATAAATAAACAAGTAAACGTTTTTATAATTCAAAATAAATATAATTAAACATATAATTAACAGACATAATATATACAGGTGTAACACTATGTAACAATATGCAATATCATGAATTACTGAATATTACTGAATATTAAATGAAGTTATTATGAATAGCTGGTCAATTCAGAATAAGAAAAACCAGCGTTTCTTTCTCTGCTAAATTTCTGGAAAAAATAAAACATATGTATATATATATATATATATATATATATATATATATACATATATTATATATATTTATTATGTAATTTATTTTTTTATATTTTTTATTATTATATATTACTTACTTAATACAGTATCCAATATTCTTTTTCTATTACCAGCTGTAATCTTCTTTGCATAGAATAAATTAAATTCTGTGTATATCCTTCTTTCTGCGATAATTGTTGCCAAACTTGATGCATGTGGTTTCTTAAAGCATCTCTTGTCCTGAGTTGACCAGCTCTCCATGATAACTTCATTTGAGCCCAAACATTTTCTATTGGGTTTAAGTCTGGAGACTTTGCTGGCCATCTAATTTGTTAAATGTCTGGATTTTCAGTGAACCATGCTTGCACCAATCTGGAAGTATGAATGGCACTATTGTCTTGTGCTATCTTAACAATTGGATATTGATCTTCAGGGAAAATTCGTCTAATTGCCGGTTTTAATATTTCTTCTAAAATTTCCACATATTCTTCCGCATATCCACATATCCATCCTTGGGGATATCTCTGTGAGTTCTACTAATCCATGAGACGTCATGCATCCCCAGAAGCCTAATGTGATTCTGCTGCTAGTTCTTGATGGAAGAACATACTTCGGATTTAACCGTGTGGTCGTACGCGTGCGATTCACGGATCACCCGTATAAAATAAAAAAAAAGAAAGGTTAATGGTCCGTCAAGCCGTTGTTAGACCAAATGTAAGTCGGAGGAGGATAAGATATAAGATAAAGATATTTGGAAGTCACCAATAAAACAAAGTTAGTCGTATTAAAATATTCTCGCTGTCTTTATTCGCACCGACATTCCCACAAGAATCCAAACAGGCTCGCAGCCCTAAGCACCCGGGCAACTCACGACAATGCTCCTAATACTCGGAACTCGATAATTAAATCTCCTGAACGCGACGTCTGTACTCCGTTACGTCTCGGAGGCGAAGCTCCTAATTTTTCTCACGGGGCACTGTGGCGCGAGATCTCCCACTAACTCTCCATCAGCTGTGGCAGATTTTAATTGGCTAGTTCTCCGTATTCAAAGGTAAACGGCCGATCTTCGCGTCAACAAGTTTTCGTATGACACATCACGCTTCGTCAAAATATACATCCGACAATACGAAACAACAATAGCCTGCCACGGCCGATCGACCTTCTCGAAACTTCTAGATTTAACTACTCGCTTGTAAATATGAAAAGTCCGCTGATCTATTTCAAATGTAAAATTTCAATTTTTAATCTCGCTGAGACTGCAATTAGTTTCAAGCGTCGCCACAACCGGATTTCTGTCCCTTTGATCGTCAGACTCGATATCGCCCTTCTTCTGCGGATGAAAAAACTTTTTCATCCATCCAAACAACGGCATTCCATTTTTCTTGGGGTGTATTCAAATGTTGTCTTGCGAATAACATTCGTTGCCCTCTATGTCGAGGCTTGAGCTTTATTTTTTTTGTTGCAGGCTTACAATGAACTTTTGCAGCACGTAGGCGACGTCTTATTGTTTGTGCACAAATATTTATATCCCTGTTCCTCAGGATATTTATAACAGAATCAAAAGGATTTTCGTCAACAGCTCTTATAATTTCTTGATTTTGTTCCGGAGGGGTGGCACCCGATTGACCACGTCGCCAATTGGCCAATTCAAAATAGGACTCTCTGATTGGTTAATTGTTGCTGATTGCAAACATGGTGGGATGTACTCGTCAGACAGCTGCGTTATGGATAAAAAAAGCATGAAGAAAGAGGTATGGCAAATCTGCAAGACCATCGCAAAAATAATAAAAGGCGACAGAAGACTACTCCGGAATAAATCAAGAAATTATAAGAGCTGTTGACGAAAATCCTTTTGATTCTGTTATAAATATCCTGAGGAACAGGGATATAAATATTTGTGCACAAACAATAAGACGTCGCCTACGTGCTGCAAAAGTTCATTGTAAGCCTGCAACAAAAAAAATAAAGCTCAAGCCTCGACATAGAGGGCAACGAATGTTATTCGCAAGACAACATTTGAATACACCCCAAGAAAAATGGAATGCCGTTGTTTGGATGGATGAAAAAGTTTTTTCATCCGCAGAAGAAGGGCGATATCGAGTCTGACGATCAAAGGGACAGAAATCCGGTTGTGGCGACGCTTGAAACTAATTGCAGTCTCAGCGAGATTAAAAATTGAAATTTTACATTTGAAATAGATCAGCGGACTTTTCATATTTACAAGCGAGTAGTTAAATCTAGAAGTTTCGAGAAGGTCGATCGGCCGTGGCAGGCTATTGTTGTTTCGTATTGTCGGATGTATATTTTGACGAAGCGTGATGTGTCATACGAAAACTTGTTGACGCGAAGATCGGCCGTTTACCTTTGAATACGGAGAACTAGCCAATTAAAATCTGCCACAGCTGATGGAGAGTTAGTGGGAGATCTCGCGCCACAGTGCCCCGTGAGAAAAATTAGGAGCTTCGCCTCCGAGACGTAACGGAGTACAGACGTCGCGTTCAGGAGATTTAATTATCGAGTTCCGAGTATTAGGAGCATTGTCGTGAGTTGCCCGGGTGCTTAGGGCTGCGAGCCTGTTTGGATTCTTGTGGGAATGTCGGTGCGAATAAAGACAGCGAGAATATTTTAATACGACTAACTTTGTTTTATTGGTGACTTCCAAATATCTTTATCTTATATCTTATCCTCCTCCGACTTACATTTGGTCTAACAACGGCTTGACGGACCATTAACCTTTCTTTTTTTTTATTTTATCCGGGTGATCCGTGAATCGCACGCGTACGACCACACGGTTAAATCCGAAGTATGTTCTTCCATCAAGAACTAGCAGCAGAATCACATTAGGCTTCTGGGGATGCATGACGTCTCATGGATTAGTAGAACTCACAGAGATATCCCCAAGGATGGATATGTGGATATGCGGAAGAATATGTGGAAATTTTAGAAGAAATATTAAAACCGGCAATTAGACGAATTTTCCCTGAAGATCAATATCCAATTGTTAAGATAGCACAAGACAATAGTGCCATTCATACTTCCAGATTGGTGCAAGCATGGTTCACTGAAAATCCAGACATTTAACAAATTAGATGGCCAGCAAAGTCTCCAGACTTAAACCCAATAGAAAATGTTTGGGCTCAAATGAAGTTATCATGGAAAGCTGGTCAACTCAGGACAAGAGATGCTTTAAGAAACCACATGCATCAAGTTTGGCAACAATTATCGCAGAAAGAAGGATATACACAGAATTTAATTTATTCTATGCAAAGAAGATTACAGCTGGTAATAGAAAAAGAATATTGGATACTGTATTAAGTAAGTAATATATAATAATAAAAAATATAAAAAAATAAATTACATAATAAATATATATAATATATGTATATATATATATATATATATATATATATATATATATTTATCATATTTTCATTATATTTTTTCTCTTCCTTTTCCTCTTTCTTTTTTGTATTTTATTTCTGACAAGTTTTTATATTTGAACACCAGTCGCTCGTCCTCAAATCTGTGACACACAATAAAAAACTGGCATTAATATGTGTAATTTATATCACGCTTTATATTTTTTATATATTTAATGTATTTTATTTTAATATTTTATATAATTAATGTGCATTACTTACTTTCTAACCATATACATTTTGACATATTTGACACTTAACCACTTTTTCAGATATGTCACACATTAGTTTGAATTTGGTGAAAAAACGCTTTGAAACATCGTTGCCAGATATTAAATAGTCATGACGTACAATTCTAATAGAGTGGAAGTACGTCGTCCGAATATGCCTTGACACGGGCAAATTCAGGTGTTAAGGCATTTTTTGGTTGCCGAGTGTACATACAAAGCATCCTTAAACAGTCCTCTTAGAAGCTAAAAAAATCAAATTTGAGTTACAAAAAATGTTTTACAAAATGACGAATGCTGAAGATAGACTTTGAGAAAGAGAATTTTTTTTAACAATTTTTTTAAATCTGCTGCATTACTGAAAAAATCGGCTCTTTGATGTAAACAATTTTTTTGATAAAATCTTTTGATAAGATCTTTTTTGATAAAATTATATCGTTTTGAGGAAAGATTTAAAACTGATCGTCTATCTCTATGTAAAGTATCTTGGGCTATTCTTCCGAAAACGATCATGCTCCGATTTGAGTCAAATTTTGTAAATAAGTTCCTTTTAGGTACAAAAGAAGTATATGAAAAGGATTTTTGGCGGGAGCGTTCGAAACGGCCACGTTCGAAATGGCCACGTTCGTAATAACAAAATATGTAATTGTTAATTGCAAATTACATATTTTATCTTCGAAACAACTATATGTTTTCTTTACACCAATTGATTCCTTTTATTATTTTATACCTAAAAGTATTAAGGTAAAGTAATCGAAAAATGAATATTTTACAAGATATTTTACGGTTTATGTAATATTAAGAAAAATTTCAAATCTCATAACTTGGAAAGTACTTAATGAAAACTAACTTAATTATAACGTTTTGGAAAGTTCTCGAGATAAGCTATAGCAAATTTGAGTTACAAAAAATGTATGTAATAAAAAATAGGGAGTTCTATTTAAAAAATTGAAGGTGACCTTCACGACTTTTTAAGATCAAACCAATGACACCATCTTATGGCCCCCTTCAAGCCATACAACTTTTGTCTGAGGCATTTTCCGCTATCGTCCCTATCTGAGGAGATATTCCCGTGGACGTATTAAAATGGCCAACTCTGTATACATCTACTAGTCTATAGAGGATATGGACCTCATATAGACATTTAGATATTTATTAGATATTGGATAAATTTTTCCGTGTAGGTTTTATTATATTTTAATTATATATAATATTGTTACGTATAATACAATTAAAGAATAATGAAATTAAATCAACCAAGTCTTTGAAAATACCTAATTTAATTGAAAATGCCTAATTTAATTGATTTTTCGCTTTGTCGAAAGGCGACTTTTAATTTTCTGAAAATGGTCGACCTTAGTCGACTCATAGTCGATAGTTAAAGTCGACAATAAACCGTACTAGAAATAGTTGACTAAACGTCGACTTAAAAAGATAATTTCAAGTTAATTAAAAAATGTCGATTATCAGCAGGCAAATAGCCATTTGTGCTGTGTAGGTTCTTTATATAATTCAAACTCGTTGTATCGATTAAGCCTAGTAAGAATTGAATCCGTTCAGCCGTTATTGAAATCCGGTAATTTGAGTTACTCTCGACTCTCCGACTCGCGTATAGATACACGGAGTGCCTCGCTAATGCTTTACATGAACTTTGTGCAAGACACTACCGTGTCTCTTGATAAAAGACTAACATAAGATCCAAAGTTCTACAGTTCTTTTCTTGCATCAGTTTAATTTCTGATAAATTTTAATTTAAAATAATTTGTTTAAAAATCTGGACTTCTTGCTAGGATTCAAAATATAAAATAAATTATTAGATGAATAAATGAATTAATATACGCAATAAATGAAATAATTCATTTATTGCGTATATTAACTCTTTAAGGACGGAACGGACACTTTTTTTACATCATTTTCGGCGCTAAATCTATATATGAAAATGACTCGTGAAAAATTTGTGAAACAATGATTTTGAAAGCTTAGAATCTCAGCTTTCGGATACCGTTGTCAGATTTGACCTATAAAATTTTTGAAAAAAGTTACAGAAAATTTTTTGAAAAAAACACGAATTTTTTCAGATTCTGTCTCAGATATTTCATGTTTTGAGCTCAAAAAAGGTCTTTGAAAGGATCGCAATCACGCTTAAGAGTGTCATGTGTATCTATGCTAAAAAACCCTGTAGCGTAATTTCAAAAATTCAAGATGGCGGACTCAAGATGGCGGTTCAAAGTTGAAAAAGTCGTGAAAAATGCATTTTTCTTCGACTTTTCGATGTGTATTTCGCTCAATCTTGTAAATAACTTTAAATTTTCGACTTTTTGAAAATCAATATTAGTAATATTAAACGTAAAAACAAGTAAATATATTTAAAAATAGCTCTAAATAAAGCTTGTCTGACATGTTTACCCAGACAGCACACAGATATCCATAAAATATTCTACAAATATCCTTGAAGGATATTGAAAATATCCATAAATATCCGTTTTATGTTCCTCAAATATACAGTGGATATTCATAGCATATCCAAATATAAAATTGGTGGATATAAATTAATCCCTGACATGTCTAAAAGACATCCGAATGGACATAAATTAGCAATAACAGATATACAAAACGGATGTGGATGTAATAACGAGATGAAAAAGGGATTACATACAAAATTTGAATTTACATATTAAAAAGATAAAATATATATTTTTTTAAGCAATACATTTATTAAAGAAAATTTATATCACATATACATTAATGCAATATCACATATTATTTAAATGTTACTTTTTTTGCACAAAAGGATTATAAAACAGATAATTTAAAAAAAATGTATATTATATG